TAGAATTTTAAGTGTCCATATTTCTCTTTTATTAATTTTTTAGTTATAGATGGACACAATACCTTTATTTTATTTATTTTTATTTTTTATAGTTACAGATGGACAGAATGCCTTTATTTATTTTTATGTGGTATTAAAGATCAACCCCAGTGTCTCACACATACTAGGCAAGTGCTCTGCCACTGCCCCAGCCCCAGCCCCAGCCCAATACCTTTATTTTATTCATTTATGTTTTATGTGGTGCTGAGGATTGAACCCAGCACCTCACATGTGCTAGGCAAATGCTCTACCACTGAGGCACATCCAGTCCCTAAGTGTCCATATTTCTTAAGCCACATTTGAGGAAGCCATATCTTAGGTTTGGATGTTGTTTCTCCTCATCTTATACATAAAACTTCAACAGATTTAATATTGGCATCCATCATCTGTCAAATTCTTTACATTCGGGCTGGGGATGTGGCTCAAGCGGTAGCGCGCTCGCCTGGCATGCGTGTGGCCTGGGTTCGAATCTCAGCACCACATACAAACAAAGATATTGTGTCCGCCAAATAAATAAATAATTAAATAAAAAAAATTCTTTACATTCTTCAAACCAATCAAATTTTATAATTCTCAACATTTTTCTATGTCAATAAAATAAGATTTGGAGTTACTGTATTTGATGTCCTTGTCAGACTGGACTTGTAGTTGCCATCTGGATTGGAATTAAAGGATGGGGAAGCAGAGATGGTTCTTGGCCTAAGTCTCTTTAACAGTAAAGAGGTAGAACAGAGCGCGAGGACTGTGAAGACACTGATGGTAGACAGCACGGCACTGATACCTCTTGGTGGTGAAATTAGGGCAGCAAAGGTACACTGAGAGGAGTTATTTGAAATCGTCACAACAGCTGTTTTAATTTGAATAAATCTGCATGGGTAGGAGCAATGCCAGATGCAGCAGCCTCAGCCCAGCATGGCCACCATTGCTCTGCTCCTTCAGTGCTCAGCTTTTCTCCCTAGATGCCAGGTATGTGGAGATCTGCTGCTCTGGGATAGCACAGGCAAAATGGGGTGCATCCTTTCAATTACATTTAATGTGTCTGAGTATGTTGAGATTCAGTTCTACTATATTATTATCTCTATGGTCTCCTTTCTCATTATCCAGTTTCCTCTTTTTACTGTTCTTTTGGGTTAACTATTTTTTATGAGATTTTGAAAAATTTTTTAAACTTTATTTATTTATTTATTTATATGTGGTGCTGAGGATTAAACCCAGTGCCTCACATGCTAGGCAAGTGCTCTACCACTGACCTACAACCCCAGCTCTGGGTTAACTATTTCTTAAGTACTGTTTTCATTTACCTTTTAAAAAACCAATTTCATTGTATCCTTCTCAGTGATTAAAATATACATATATAAAATATATGTATAAATGTAAAATATTTATCTTCTCAGTCTTTTTTTTAGAGAGAGAGAGAGAGAGAGAGAGAGAGAGAGAGAGAGAGAGAGAATTTTTTTAATATTTATTTTTTAGTTTTGGCAGACACATCTTTGTTTGTATGTGGTGCTGAGGATGGAACCCGGGCCGCACGCATGCCAGGCGAGCATGCTACCGCTTGAGCCACATCCCCAGCCCTCTTCTCAGTCTTCATGAAATATTTTACCATTGAACTGGAAAGTAGAACCTAACAATCACAGAAGTCACATCAGCCTTAAACCTTTCTTTTGTAAATGTCTTGTTTATAATTTGAAATCCCCATGTTTTTATTCTCAACAACACAGATTCTCAGCACTACCAAAAAAAAAAAAAAAAAGGAAAAAATGCAAATTTAAGTAAGCATTCTATAGTTGTGGTTTCAATATGAATTTCATTTCAAAGGCCTTTTCCATGCTATTTATTCTCTCTATTACAAGCTGGCCTACATTGAGGGTGGAGGATGATCATCTCAGTCTTTTTTGTAAAGGTCTATGCTATGTCTCATAGCCACCATAGAGTTGTCAGATGTTGGGGACATGTAAATGGAGGGGGGAAAATGGCATTTAGCTCTTTTCTCTCACTGTGAATCCACCTCCCTCACTGGCCTTTTGATGGTTGGTTTGAATATGAAATACTTGCCTCCATGTATGTTGTTTGCCAGAAATAGAGGAGCTATGATAATCTCATGTCCATAGGGAGAAAAATGACCAAAATGGTATGCATTTAGTATATAAATTTGAAATCAGAATTACAAAATGTGGAAGACAAGGTAATGGAACATATTTAAGGTCTTAAATTTCTGAAAAACATAAAGGAATGGAGACACTTGGGTAGGACAAAATGAAGAAATCTATAAGACACCATCAGAAAGGGGAAAACACATAAGATGTAAACTCCTATAATCTTTTTTTCCCCTCCTGCAATGTTGTAATAAAAAAATTACAAAGGTTGAGGATATAGTTTAGTGACATAGACAATACCAGCCTAGTATATACAGCTCTCACGCAGTGCAAAATTTACCTAAGAAAGGTAACATCTTGCTGTGAGATATGTACACGGGTATTAAAATCTATGAAGAAAGGCCAAGAAATGATTGATTTAAGTTTGTGGATTCATAAAGATGACTGAGTACAGAAAGAGGCTCCAGTGACTATGTTTTTTACTCCTAGTACTAACAAAAAGGGCACAGCAGAGGCCGCACAGGCCTACAAGGGGAAGAGAGAGAGTTGGTCAGGAGACAGATAAGCAAGAAGAAAGCATCTGCCTCAGCATTTATTGGAATTTCCACCACAAAGGCAAAGCAGGGCATGAAAAAGTTTAGGATCAAGTTTGAATAATTCTCATGGGTAAAGGCATAGGAAATATTACTATTTGTCTTGAGCCTTTCCCTGTGTTGATTTTTGGAAGGGGAAATACTGACTTTATATATTAGTTAGACAAAGCAAGTAGCTGAGAATTTGGCCTTTTGATGGTTGGTTTGAATATGAAATACATGCCTCCACGTATGTTGTTTACTATCTTGAGGAATAACTTAGCACACTGGGAGGTGCAGTCTCTGCCCAGACCCCCAGAATTTCAGTACATCCCAATATACAGGAAATACAATACATGAGTAACACAATTGATCCTCAGATGGTCTGATGTTACACTAAACAACTCTGGGACAACGTCAAGAGATTTTTCACTGATAAGGAGAAAAATGCCAGGCATGGTAGTAATTCTGGAGGCTGGGACAGGATTTGTAAGTTTGAGGCTAGCCTCAGCAATCTAGCAAGACTGTCTCAAAATAAAAATAAAAAAAGATTAGTGATGTAGCTCAGTGAGATCACCCCTGGTTCAATCAGAAGGGAGGGAAGGGGTTTTAAAAAAAAAAGGACAAAGAAAGGAAAGAAAGAAAAGGTGAAATATTGCAGTACTTGTAATAAGTATGTACAGTACTTGTGGGCCTGGCCACAACAAAGTTCTCAGATAACTATGGCATTATTCAAGAAAACAGACCTGAAATGTTGTAAGATCAATAATTTTTTCTGCAGATTGTAAAACGTATAATAGTATGAATTTGACAGTGATCAAGATGGAAGGCCTGGAATTATACTGTTGTGAGGATATGAATTTAAACATTAGCAAATTCTAAGTAGAGAAAAATGGTTTTGAAACCAAGGGGAAGGAGTCAGATCAACATGGAAAACATGATCAGCAGAATTAACTGGGAAGATAGTGGACTCCCCTTTGGTGTCACTGCATTAATTGACAGCAGCTGCCTCCTGGGAAACCAGAAAAAGTTTTGTCAACTTTCAGAAATGTAGGTAGTAACCTCTCTAAGAGGTAGCAGTAACTTCTATCAGATTTTCCTAAAGGTATGGGGTATAGAGCTGTATGTTTTGGCTGACATTATACCAGGATCACAGGCTAAGCTGACAGCAAGCTCGGGCACACAATCAAACCCCAAATATCAAAGTAAGAAAAAGCAAATGTTTTATGTGCAATTTGTACCTGAGGAGCACTAGCGCACAGATATTGCTACAAAGAAGGTTCTGGTGAATTTGAACTCATCTTTAGTGCACAGGAGGAAGTCCTCTCCAGTGGCAAGGTCACCAGCAGTGAGTTTCTCAGGCAGGGCAATGTCTGGGCTGTGAACACTATACTGTCATTTATTAATGATACTGTCACTTGGAGACAAGGGGAAGGACGAGGCCAAACTGCACTAGTGACTTCACCCATCACCTACATGTGCTCATCAGCAGGCAACTGTGAACAAGTTCCAGAGGGACCTATAGGTCTCATTTCAGACAGTAAGGATGGCATCTAAGGCAAATTCATGAGCCATAACCATCCACACAAGGCAGCCCAGATTGATGTGATCACCTTTATTGTCACTGCCAACAGGTAATGGCAATAATAGTTGGGCTTAACAGTAATAATCACACCCACAAGAGAACCATTTCATTACCACTCCTCACAAGAAACACATGGAACATGAAAGTGCACAGGTCTCTTCTGTTCAGGATTTATTGTTTAGCATGATTTGGAATACCTCTGCACTGGCTGGATTAAAAGCCAAAGAAAGGGCTGCAGCCCTGATGGCAGCCATCAAGGGGCTGAGTTCTGATGGCAACACATGATAGAACCCAAAGTTGCTCAAACTTTAAATTTGGATCACTCAAGCTGAAACCTGATTGTGCTGGTCTGAGAGGCTGTACCCAAGGGCCAATTCAGAACCATGATGGTTTCGAGCACAGTAGAACATGATACCAGTTATGTTCAGTTTTTCTGTTTCCATGTGCATCAAAGGACAAATCCAGAAGCAGTTTGTACTGCCAGTCCAAGCTGTTGCTAACTCAGGCATTCATAAGTGCTTTGCAGGCTGTGTAATGGATGCACAGATTAAAGACAACACTGAGGCCTCTCCCTCACTCCCTGCAATGCCAATGTTACAGGAACTTCCATTCTCAAGGGGTTCAAGGGGTCTCTCTCTCTCTGCATGGTCATGAAATTGAGGTCTCTCACACTAGTAATTATTTATCACTTGTCCTTTCTCTACTCACTTTTCTTGCACTCTCATCTTTTATCTGAAAGGATCAGGTATAAGAGAACAAGGGCATTTAACAACATTAAATGTGTTAAAGTGAAAAAGGCTTTCTCACAGTACTAAATCCCAGGATTTAGCATGTTTAAGAGCATGACAAGCCAGGTATGGTCATGCGTGCCTGTCCCAGCAGCTCAGAAAGCTGAGGCAGGAAAATCACAAGTCAAAGCCAACCTCAGCAATTTAGCAAGGTCCTAAGCAATTCAGTGAGACCCTGTTAAACACCTGAGTTCAATCCCTGGTACAAAAAAAAAAAAAAAAAAAAACATGAGAAACCTAGGAAAGATTCTATACTGCTAAAATAGTATTGTTTGTATCCCAAAGGCCCACTTTTCACCTGGTGGCTATCCAGAAGTTGTAGCAACTGAAATGACTGAAATGAAATAGTGTTGCTATGGAGGAAAGGAAAGACATATCACTCCAGAATGATCAAGGTAGAATCACAAATGTTCGAAATAAACCAGAACCATTCAGACAGTGGTGTCTGTTGGTACACTAGATTTCAAGTTAAGGGGACATAATTCCCAAACCCCTATATTAAATTTCTCTTGGATCTGAATCATGTTTGCTAAAGGTTGACTTTCCAACAGTCCTTTCCTTCTAAAGTTTTCTCCACTATGATGACACAAGTGAAGACCAACATATTTACAGAACTACAACCTTCCCATATATTTTACATCAGGAGTTCTTCCTTCTATTGCAAAGTCTCACATTTAGTAACTTTCTGGGAATTAGTGAAATATTTTATATTTCCTTCCTTACAATGTGAAGAATCTTAAGGGATTTTTTTGTATTCCTCCCATTGAAAGGGTTTCTTTTCAGTGTGAGTTATTAAATGTTCAGTTAGTAGGTAAAACTTACTGTAGGCTTTCCCACATTCCTGACACTTAAAGGGTTTCTCTGTTGTGTGAATTTTCACATGATGAATTAGGTTTGAGGATGAACTGAAGGATTTCCCACATTCCTTACATTCATAAGGCCTTTCCCCAGTGTGAGTTCTTACATGCTCAGTTCGGCTTGAAGAAGTGGTGAAGGCTTTCCCACAGTACTTACACTTATAGGGTTTTACTCCTGTGTGAATACGAATGTGCTTAGTAAGATAAGAGAAATACTGAAAGGATTTTCCACATACATTACATTCAAATGGCTTTTCCACCATGTGAGTTTTTAAATGGTCAAGTAATAGATTGCATCTATTGTAGGCTTTCCCACATTCCTTACATTCATAGGGTTTCTTTCCAGTGTGAATGATTAGATGTTTACGTAGGTATGAGGAATTGAGGAAGGCTTTCCCACATTCCTTACATATATAGGGTCTCTCTCCACTGTGAGTTCTTACATGTCTACGTAGGTATGAGGAAGCATGAAAGACTTTACCACATTCACCACATATAAAGGGTATCTCTCCACTATGAGTTTTTCTTACATGATTATGTAGGTATGAAGAATTAAGGAAGGCTTTTCCACACTCTTTACAAATATAGGGTCTCTCACCACTGTGAGTTCTTACATGTCTACGTAGGTATGAGGAAGAATGGAAGGCTTTTCCACATTCCCTACATATATAGGGTTTCTCCCCACTGTGAGTTCTTCTTATGTGGTTACGTAGATATGAGGAAGTGAGAAAGGCTCTTCCACATTCCTTACATATATAGGGTCTCTCGCCACTGTGAGTTCTTACATGTTGAGCAAGGCGTGAGGATGAAGCGAAGGCTTTCCCACATTCGTTACATTCATAGGGCTTCTCTGAAGCATGTGTTGGTTCATGTGTGGTAAGGCCTGAGCGCTTAGTGAAGGCTTTTCCACATTCCTTACATTTATAGGGTTTTTCTCCAGTATGAATTCTAAAATGTTCCATTAGCCGTGAGTAAGTAGTGAAGGGCTTCCTACATTCCTTACATTTAAAGGGTTTCTCCCCAGTATGGGTTCGCATGTGCCTATTAAGGTTTGAAGAACGTCTGAAGACTTTTCCACAAACCTTACATGCATTGTTTTTCATTGTGCGCATTTGAACAGGCACGGCAGGACTTGTAGAGTGAGTAAAATGCCCTGCATTCCTTGTATTTTGAGTTTTCATGTGAGTCTTGAAATATGAGTGTTCACTGAAGATTTCTCCACACTGCATATAGTCACAAAGTTCCCCTGCACTGTGGTGTCCTGCCTGTTGATGAAGGGATGAATGATGGTTAAAAGACTTTTCAGACTTATTAATTCTTACCTATCTGCAGACAGAAACAGTATTATTATGATTATTATCCTTACCACTTTGATTACATGCAAACATTCCCTGCTCTGTAAACTTCAAGCTGAATGAAGGAACCCAATTTCAAGGATCCTGTGACATCCAGTCTACTCTTGGAAATGACTACTCTATATTTTTATGAAGTTCCTTTAGGAACCTCAGTGCCCAGTTACATGTGTAGGAATGTGTATTAGTGAAACTCTGCCTCATGTTTTGAGCTAAATTTAGGATAAAATCCTAAATTCATCATATTCAGAGTATCTCCCTACTGGGTGAATGCTACTCAAAAATCTCTCATTTATGTTGATTTTCTATAAAGAAATTCCCAATCTTTTGATATTAATCTCCCTTGTTAATATTAGAATTCACCGATTCTATTGCCTTTTCTCTGTAAAACAATGAACAATGATAATATATTTATTTAGAGGATGATTATGATTTTTAACATCTTCATGACATTCTTACAGTTCCTGGCATGATTTCTTTTAAATTGAATTATGGAACAATAGTGCCAGAACCTTCTGCCATCTGCTCTAATCTTAAAACAACTGTTTAGATATTTACAAAATTGAGGCCAGGTGAGGTGGTATGTGCCTGTAATCCCAGTGGCTGAGGAGCCTGAGGCAGGGGGATTGTAAATTCAAAGCCAGCCTCAGCTACAGCAAGGCACTAAGCAACTCAGTGAGACCCTTTCTCTACATAAAATACAAGAGGACTAGGGATGTGGCTCAGACGTTGAGTGCCCCTGAGTTCAATCCCTGGTACCCCCTCTACCTAAAAAAAAAAAAAAAAAAGATATTTACAAAATTGAGCCAGCAGAGTGGCATTCACCTAGAATCATAGATACTCAGGGGCTAAGGCAGGAGGATTGTTAAGTTCAAGGGCAACCTGGGCAACTTAGCAAGACCCTGTCTTGACACTTAAAAAAAAGGCTGGGAATGTAGCTCAGGGTAGTGTTGGCCTAGCTTGCACAGGACCAGGATTCACTCTTTAGACCATTCCCCCCTCCCCCAAAAATATTCACAATACTGCCTTAAAAGTCAATCTCTAGTTACACATGTGGGACTATGTACTTATGGGATCTCTGAAGGAATAGGTTTTATGACAGACAGGTTTGGGACATGTTAAAAATTCAAATTCATCACCTTCAGAATATACTCCTTCCTAGGTGAATGCTACTTATTTTCTATAAGGGAATTGGCAATGTTCTCTGAGTGGAAAACAACAAATATCCATGTTAATCTTACTGTTTGTATCCCACTGGAAGTCTGTCCCCTCAAAAAATCCTGCTGAAGTGTTGCCTCTTTGGTGTTAAGTAGTATTTTCCATTCTGAAGATAAACAGAAAAATAAAATTAAAGTTTGGAGCAGAAATGGTAGACTTAGGAGTTAAAAATAATAGGGCTCATTTATATTTGTTATCAATTTAAAACTGGTTAAAAAGAAAGAAAAGTCTGGAGCTGGGGTTGTGGTTCAGTGGTAGAGTGCCTGCCCAGCATGTGTGAGGCACTGGGTTTGATCCTCAGCACCACAAAAACATAAATAAATAAGGGTTAAGGTTTAAAAAAAAAAAAGAAAAGAAAAGTTTGACCATTTTGAACTAGGTTAAAACTTTGGTGACAGCTAAAGATGTGAATCACAGTTTTAGACATTTATTCAAAATTAATTCTTTGAAAAATAAAACTGATGGTTAACAACAAAAAATATTATTAGGCATAAAAAGGAGCAAAAATCTGGACATAAACCATATAACAAAATAATAAAAAAAGGTCATTTTTGTGAGATCACAGGAAAGTCTGAATAGACAGAAAGTGAGCATATGAGAAGTTCTTTACTTTCTTACCTTCTCAGAGAAATGACCTGAAATGTCTGATATCAAGTGCATATTAAAAAGTCCTCCTTAACACTCCCAAATACACTATGTGTCCTTGATGGGGACTGTTATTCACAAACACTCACCTTGGAGATCTCCACTCTGCACTGTCCACAGATCCTCTTCTTGTTCCAACCAGTAGATGAGACTAGGTTTAATGGGCTCACATCCTGTATACAGGGAAAGATACATTCATGAAAGAGTTTCAGATAAAAGATCATAAAACATTATGATTCAGGAACTATATTTCTAACAGATGTAGGGAATCATAAAAGGGCTAAGCATGAAAATATCATCTCTTTCTATGCCCCCAAAAGATCTTTGAACCCTGAAACCCAAACACTAACACCTTGATTCAAATAGAAAATATAGTGAAACAAAAATTACCCCAGTGATTCTCACATGACACTGCATCAGATTCATGTGGGTGGCTTGTTAAAACTCACATGACAGGTATCTACCTGGAGTTTCTGATTCAATAGGTCAAAAGAAGAAACTGGTAATTTACATTTCACTTTTATGGGGGTAGTCCTGGTGATTGAATCTCAGTACCTTGTGCATGTTAGGCAAGTGCTCTACCACTGAGCTGGAAATAAAAAATAATTTTTATTTCCCATGGGGTGATGGCAACAATATTCTTCTTGGACTCACATTTTGATAACCACCAATATGTATTAAAATGTACAGTAGTCCCCCCTATAGTTTTACTTTTATGGTTTCTTACAATCCATCCTATCTAAACATATGAAATATAAATTTCCAGAAAAATATTCACTAGTTTTAAATTGCACACCATTTTGAGTAGCTTGATAAAATCTCATGCTATCCTACTCTGTCCTACAGGGGATATGAATCATCCCTTTATCCATCATATCCACACTCTATATGTTTCCTGACCATTAAGTCATTTAGTAGCTGTCTCACTTATGGTTGATTATCACAGTATAACATTGCTTGTGTTCAAGTAATCCTTATTTTACTTAAAAACAGACCCAAAGAGAACAGTAGTGATGCTGCCAATTTGAAAATGCCAAAGAGAAAACATAAAGTGCTATATTTAAGTGAAAGTTGAAAGTTCTTGATTTAAAAAGGAAAAAAATATATATGCTTAGGCTGCTAATATCTACAATAAGAAAAAAATCTTCAATCTGTGAAACTATACAGAAGAAAAAAGAAATTCATGTTGCTTTTGTTGTTGCACCTCAAAACTTGATTGAAACTGTTCAGTTCGACGAACATTTCCAGACATCCATTGGGGGCGTCCTAGAATATACACCTTAGAATAAAGGTGGACCACTATACTAGGGAAGAGACTATGCCCCTGTTATTTCCCAACATAGTCAGAGTTGACATCACTGATGCTGCAGCACAGCAAGTACAGAACACCCATCTTCCCTAAGCTACAAGGAATGATGGCAGTCTTACCTACTGAGGCCAGGTTCCGGTAGTTCTCTAGCATCACATCTCTGTACAGGTCTCTGTGCATTTGATCCAATAGAATCCATTCCTCTTGGGTGAAGTCCACAGCCACATCCTCAAAGGTCACCAAGTTCTTAAAAAAAAAAGTCACCAGGTCCTAAAACATTACACACATGCATGCAAGCAAACCTGAGTAACAAGTAAAATAGCAACATTTCCACCAATGTTCACTACAGAAAGAGGAATTGAGACCAGTGCCTACACAGGGATCTGAGGCTTCCATTGTCTACCAAGGCTTTCGTGGTCCTAGGAACTTTTTTCTCTATCTACACTCAATTTAAGGTTGATATCCCTCAGTCATGTGGCTTTAATGGCTCTTCTGGCACCTGAACTGATCTCACCACAACCAGAATACAAGTCCTTTTCTTATTTTGTACTATTAAAGTACATTCCTGGAGGCTGGGAATGTACTTCAGCAGCAGAGCACTTGACTAGCATGTTTGAGGCCTTGGTGTCCATATCAGTACCACACTTGAGCCTGTAATCCCTGCTTCTTGGGAGGCTGGGGCAGGAGGATTGCACTTTCAAGGCCAGCCTCAGCAACATAAGTGTGAAGATTAATTCATAATTACTGAAATAATGGGATGATTTTTAGGCAACACTTCACCAATACCAGAGGCTCCACTCTAGAAATTCAGCTGGAGACTGAGTCCTTGAGTTTGTCTCTACTTGATTTAAGAAACTTTGAAGACATATCTGTCTAAAAATATGCCTACCTGTAAAGACAAGCTGGTCATTTTGTGAGACATGGTGTCTGCATACCTGATAACAATTTGTCAGACAGTCTGCCACCATCCTTTCTGTCTTAATCTTTTCTTGAAGAAGGCAGACTGGGCCCCTAGACAGAAGAAAGCCTAAAAAAGAGAGAGAGAGAGAGAGAGAGCGCATGAGAACCCAGAGCTGACCACAATTCTTACTCATATGTCAGTAAATTAGTCCACTCTAGCATGAAACCCCATATAATCCAACACACTCTACATACAGACACACAATTGCCATACAATGTCAGAGTAGTCCTTTCTACCTAGAGCCAACAGAAGGGACGATAAACTATGCTGCCCACCAGGAAAAGACAACAGTCTCATTTTACTAGGAAGACATTTCAGGCCAGGGGAGATGTGACACTTTATTTCCCTATGGTGATAAATGACATGAGGGAGATTATGCAGCACCTCTTTTCAAAAGACACATGCTAGGGAGCTGACTTCACAACCGCATTCTCTAGCCCCCAGGGTTCCCCCTAAATGAACTAAACAAGATAGAGTGACTGCTCCAGCATTGACTCTACAGTATACGGGGGGGGGGGGGGACCTAAATCAGATAGCCCCTAGGCTATATCAAATCCCCATTCTTTCTAATAACATAGTCCCCAGAGAACTTGACATTGCAAATGAAAGTTTGTAGGTGTTCAGTGGTCTGGATCTTGTAAAGACATCCCTCAAAGATTCCACTCCAAAAGATTGCACTTCATACAAACTACCAGGCAAAATAAAGGGGTGTAATACTCTATAGACCTTTTGAATTCTGGATGCAACATTTCAAAACTTGAATGAATTTTAACATATCTTAAGGCTTTCAGTTTCAAATAGAGACAAGAGCAAGTTAAAGGTACAGTACAAGCCTCTCAAGCACCTGGTCCACATTATCAGGCAGACCCAATAATCCTCAAAGTGTCCATGGGTAAACAGTGTAAACTATTGGAAGCCTCTAGCAAGCACCAACAGGAGAATCACACAACAGACCTTTGGTACTTGTAAGCAACTCTGTGCGCTCTCTCTCTCTCTCTTTTTCCCAATGCCGAGGATATAACAAAGCCCAAAGAATGCTAGGCAAGCATTCTACCAGAGTTACAGCCCTCACAATTATCCCTTTTTTGAAGATAACTATTCTGTTTTTAAGAGACATGTTGTCAGTACCTGGAAGAATAACCATGGACATTAAGTGATTAAAATAGAACTGAGGGAGCTGGGGTTGCAGCTCAGTGGTAGAGTGCTTGCCCAGCACAGGAGGCACTGGGTTCAATCCTCATCAAAACAAACTTTAGATGACATTATTATTATTTTATTTTTTGGTACTGGGGATTGAACTCAGGGGCATTCAACCACTGAGCCACATGCCCAGCCTATTTTGTATTTCATTTAGAGACAGGGTCTCACTGAGTTGCTCAGTGACTCGCCGGTGCTGAGCTCTCGGCTTTGGACTCACTATCCTCCTGCCTTCGCCAACCGAGCCGCTGGGTTACCGCGTGGGCCACTGCGCCTGCCTAGATGTCATTATCATTTTTTTTTTTTGAGAGAGAGAGAGAGAGAGAGAGAATTTTAATATTTATTTTTTAGTTTTTGGCGGACACAACATCTTTGTTGGTATGTGGTGCTGAGGATGGAACCCGGGCTCCACGCATGCCAGGCGAGCGCGCTACCGCTTGAGCCACATCCCCAGCCCGACATTATCCTTTTTAACTTTGTTACTTGAAACAGTATTGTGGTTTTAGTAAGGCGATGCCCTTATCTTTAGAAGATGCATTCCCGAGTATTTAAAGGAAAAGTTTCATGTTCTCAATTTATATTCAACGATAATTTATATTCAAATGATAATTTACCAAAAAATGTTCTTAATTTCCTGAAAAGTGGGCAAACATGCACAATGCTCAAAATTGGTACATCTGCCACTATATTTATTACATATGTTAATTCGTATTTTTTGAAAGAAAAATGTGAGGGAAAAAACATGCATGCATACAGGAGGTGGGGTAGAGGGTTTACCTTCAAAGCCCGGTGTTCAATTCCTACCACCACAGAATAACCTGAACAAAACAACACATGCTGTAATGAATTCAATTATTCTAGCACCACTAATAAACCTTCCATCTCTTTTTCCTGGCGGCCCCCGTTTTGAAGTTCTGTGGGGACGTACAAGCTTTGGAACTTCGGAAGAGAAACCTATGTTTATGCAGATACAGGTTTTTCCAGTAAGAAAACCTGTATCTGCATAGAAGTAGTCACACCCTAGACACCTAAAAATCTACATTATCTTTCTATCCGAATGTCATGTATAAACTAAATACCGTCAAAGACAATGCCAAACTCTCAGATAAAACATTCTTTTAAGAAAGAAGTAGAGGCTCTTGTGAACCAACTTGTGCCCAATACTGACCTGAACTCGCCAGAATGCCAATCCGTCAGGAGAGTGGGCACTGAGTCTGGAGCCAACGTTACTAAATCGCGGAAATTCTCTTCCCTCTGGGAAACAATTTCGGAAAGACTGCTTTGCAGGCTTTGGAAAAGAGGAGAGCCGCGGAAGAAAGCACCCGGAGGGCGCGCCCCGGCGACACTTCCTGACCCAGCGCCACCGGCGCCTCTCGGACCCGAGAGCCGGGAAGGATGCGCGGCCCTAGACACGCCAGCGAAGCCGGCCTGGTCCCTTTACGGGGGTCCGCTGCCACCACTGGGAGACCCCGCACGCAGAATCCACCCAAGGCGGGGAGAGGTGCACCATGAGGAAGGCACTTGACACTACACTGCGGGGCCGGCGCCCGCTGACGTCACTTCCGCTTTCAGGCTTCGGCCTTCAAGGGGGTTCCTCAGGCATCAGCCACGTCGAGCCACGTCGGCCGGCCAGGCGCGGACATTCTAACTTCCTCTCCGGGAAGGATGAGGCTGACACACGGGTCGGTTCGTTGCAGGAGGCAGAACCGGGCGAGGCGGCCGAGGGCGAAGTGAGAGCCAGGCCTGGGGGTGGGGCTGGGGGCGGGGCCAGGCCCGTGCCGACTCCGCCCACAGCCGCAGAGCCCGTTGATTCTTCACATTGATGCGTGGCAGGGCTTTTCCGTTCTCTCTTTGTGGGTCTTTGTGGTTCCTTAATTCATTAACTTATCTGAATACCATGCTAGACTCTAATAGTTTATTCCTTTGTGTTTTCAGTGTAATCATATTTTCTGCAAACTTATTTTTTTCTTGTTATTTTTGGATTTTGCCAGAGGGCCTGGGACCTCTCCCTCCCACCGCCCCCATGCGACAATTCAAAATAACCGCTAATATTACGGAGTATTCTCCAAGAGTTATTCAGAAGTGTGACGTAACCCCAACAAGAATGCCAACATTTTTTAAAAGCCATTAGGCATATTGATACTTAAGTTAATATCAAAGAACAAATATCTGATGATGAACAAGGAAACACTGAAAAACAAAATGGATGATAACCTACAGATATTAAAAAGTATTAAAAAGCGAGGTGATAAGCAACTCAGTGAGACCCTGTTTCTAAATAAAATAAAAAATAGGGTGGGGATGTGGCTCAGGGGTCCAGTGCCCCTGAGTTCAATCCCGGGTATCCCCCCCAAATATTACAAAACCTCTGTAATTAACAGTGCATGGTACTTACACATATGAACAGGAAGCGGATAAATAGAATGTCTCCAAGTAAATTCAATAACATGGAAATTTGATTCAAGTATATTCTAGATCAATGGAACAGAAATGCACTTTGGAATGAAAGGTGCTAAAACAACTGGAAAAAGATGAAATTAAACCTGTTCCTTTTACAATATACAACAATAAACTCCAAATGAATCTAGAATCTAAATGTATAAAATAAAAACATACACATATGTAGGGTATTCCAGTGATTTTTTTTTTTTTTTTTTTTTTTTTTTTTTGCTATTAAGGGGGAAAAAATGTAACCAGGAGGTGGCAGTAGTAAGGAAAAAGATGTAACCAGGAGGTGGCAGTAGTACACAAGCTTTATTTGGGTAGTGCTTTGGCAGGCTCGAAGTTGACCCTCTGTGCCCAATGCTGTTTCATGACTGATAAAATTAGACAAGCCTATAAAGTAAAACATAACCATTTTCCTTTGTTGTCTGTTAGGTATACTTTTGGGTTGTATAAAACACAATGTTTAAATTTAGTGGGAGGAAAATATATACATGGCTATTCATATATTTTCTTTTTTTGAGGGGGACACTGAGGATTGAACTCAGGGACACTTGACCACTGAGCAACACCCCCAGTCCTATTTTTTTTAGTATTTATTTTTTAGTTGGAGTTGAACACAATACTTTTATTTTATTTATTTATTTTTATGTGGTGCTGAGGATTGAACCCGCAGGGCCTCGCACATGCTAGGTGAGTGCTCTATCACTGAGCCACAACCCCAGCCCTCTCCAGCCCTATTTTGTATTTTATTTAGAGACAGGGTCTCAATGAGTTGCTTATCACCTTGCTTTTTACTGTGGTTGGCTTTGAACTCTATCCTCCTATCTTAGGCCCCAGGGCCTCCGGGATTAAAGGCGGGCACCTCCATGCCTGGCTCCTATATTTTCTTGTGTTAAAATATTTTTCCATATGTATATATACTCTATTTAATTACCTTGCATCTTTGCTCCCTATACCTAGGGGTTTTAAAGTCAGTAAGTAATCATACCATTATATTTGCTTTACCTGGCATTAGCTAACCAAGTTTGAAATTCATTTTTTGTTTTCACTGAGCTCCTGGCCACTTAAAGTGGCAGTCTTCCTTCCACCCCTTACTTTTATTTGTTGTAGTCTTCAAGGGCTAGAGCCTAGGTCTTTAGTTTCTCTAGCTGATAAGAGTAAAAGAAGAGAGAGACAGGGATCAGGTGTCTCTTGACAATTGCATCCTGAAATGGCCCCTGTCTACAGGACTACAGAATAATTAGCACCCAACATATCCTCTTATATTTTTAAATTATTTTATTTGCAACCCAGGGCCGAGCTCCTGCTAGGCAAGTGCTCTTTTACTTAACTACATCCCCAACCTATCCCCTCCTTTTAACTTTAAGGGCCTAAGAAATCTTCCTGATGATGGTACCCAAAGATTCAGTGTCTATTGAGGGCCTGCCTGTGGGAGGCAGACATAGCATGTGACCAGTGTTTGCCTCCCCTTTTGATCAGTGTGGCACTGTCTGTCACCCTGTGATCTGGTTGCTTAAGTAACCAAAGATAGTAGCCCGATCTTTAGGGTTGAGAAAACGCAAATGTGTCTTTGTGCATGGGCGAGTCCTCCTACATCCCCAGGGATCGAGCTACCCTCACCTGTTCCTTTGTGATATTAACCCTTGCCCTGTTTGGGATAGAATGTTCCATGGAAATTTGTGTGTCCCCTTCTCTTGCTTTGCCTTTGAGTGTGGCCTTCCTAGATGTCAGGCATCCTGCTGACAGCAGACATCATGAAGCTAGACTCAATCCTCTGAAACCTGACCCCTTGCCTCATTTGAATGGCTTCTCCTCAATAAAAGGGATCAGGATGCACTCACTCTTTCTCTTTCTGCGGACCCTTAATGTCAGAAGAGCTGTCTCAGCACCCCCAAAGAAAAAGGTATTTCTCTCTCTTGTGTGGTTATTTCAGGCAGCCCAGTTCCCCTGGAGTGACCCCTGAGTGTTTTAGTTGCATGCAACACATCCCTGGGTGGCAGGTTTGAGTGTTTAAGTCACCAGGAATGTGACACCTGCCCTTTGCTTCCAAGATGGTGCCTATTGCCATATCTTCAAATGGCAGATGGGCAAAAAAGAACAAATATTGTGTCTTCACAATGCAGAAAAGTTGGAAGGGGTGAGAAGGACAAATGTTTTGTCCTCATAAGGCAGAGGAAATGGAAGGTCCAGATGGCTCCCTGTAGTCTCTTTTACAGTTTATTAATAACACTGTGGGGGTGGAACCCTTATGACTTAATCACGTCCCCCAAAGACCCTCATCTCTAGATACCATCACAATGTGAATGAAGAGCAAATGGTGAAGGTGGGAAACTTGTCCCTTTGTTTCTGCATTCCTCTGCTTGAAACCCCTGTTAAATTCTCATGGAAGGTGTTAGGTATTGAAAAAGACAAACCCCAGAATAATGTGGCCTGGGGAGAAGGAGTGAAGGAGTCACTGTCTTTCCCAGTGACCCTGGGGAGGAAATTTCCATCCAGTTTGAAATGACAGTTTCTGAGAAGAAGCCAAAGCGTTGATCCCATCCCAAACTGACCCCCACCCACCATCTGGCCCAGTAAAGATAAATCCCGGGTACTGACCACTGACCCCACATCCACTAACCCCACACCTTCCATCTGGCCTAGTAAGGATAGCCCAAACTGACATGCTCATTAATTGATTCACCTCTCAGTGTAACCATATAAGCCTAACACCCACCCCGCTTTGGCCAATGGCTCATTTTCCACCAGGAAAATGGGTCAGTCAGAGGCATCATTCCATTCCTGAATAAAAGCTGTGCTGGGCTGGTTTGTAAAGTTTGCATCTAGCCCAGTCCTCTTGCACTAACAGAAGGAAATAACATTTCCCTCAAGATGCACCACAACTGCCTGCAGCTGCCACTAGTCATAACCAGTGCAAAACCCAGAGGCACAAATGTATAACATCAAGCAAAAGAAAAAAGCTCACATAATAAATTAATTCCCATTGTGGTAATATATGTCATAAGAAAAACAAGAAACATGTATGAGAAGGGATTCTAAGGGTGTTAGACCAAGAATTGTGGAATATAACACTAGACAGGGCCAACTATTGAAATAGGAAGACAACAGGATTTCATATATAAGCTCATGGACCTGGGTGCTGCCTTTAACAGTTAAATTGTTTGGATGACTTGAACTTAAACTCAGTGGTGACCTACAGTGAGTGGGGGTGATATGCCAAAGAGATACCCTGGCATAATATGAAGGAAAGTATCCTAGAGGTATAGGAATGTTGTACTGATTTTTTTTCTTTTTGGTGGTACTGGGAATTGAACTCAGGTGTGCTTTTTCACTGAGTTGCATCACCAGCCATTTAAATTTTTTTTAAAAGTTTGAGACAGGGTCTTGTTAAACTGCTGAGGCTGGTCTTGAACTTGAGATTCTCCTGCCTTGGTTTCCCTAGTTACTGGGATTACAGTCATGCACCACAACTAGGTTTCCCTAGTTACTGGGATTACAGACATGTCCAGCTCCTAAATTTATTATGTGATCAGCACTGCCCTCCTTAATTAGCCTATATGGAGAACTCAGAAGGCACTGTCTTCATAAAGGTATTCAGAAACAGATCAGTGATGGGAGAACTTCTATCCTTGAAAAGCTCTGTGTTTACACTCCTTTATATACCAGGTATGACTGAGATATTTTCCCCAATTTCAGTGCTGCTGATGAGAACCCATATTAGCAGAAATCAAGTGAATAGCCCTTAACTATCAAAGACCATAAGGCCACATCAGATGTCTTGGGCAGGTGGAACATACTAGTAATAAAAATACTTTGGCTTACAGAGCTCAATGGTGGTGGCAAGATTATCAGTGTCCCAAGGATTATCATCAATAAGAGGACACATTGACAATATTTAGAGAAATAGTAAACACAGGTTTAGGGTCACATGTAAAATTAGGGCTAAAGTCAGTCAGTTGAGTATTCTTCCTTAGGATAAAAGTGAAGAGAAGGGGTGTGGATGGTGTGGTGGTAGAGCAGAGCACTTGCCTGGCCTGTATGAGGCCTTGGGTTTGATCCCCAGCATTGAAAAACAAAAGTGAAGAGGACATTGATTTTCCTTTTGTAAATGAATGCCTAGCAATTAAACTAAAATCTGTTCCTTATTAAAGAATAGTCTTTAAACAAATTTTTAAAAATTTGATTCAGGGGGCTGGGGTTGTAGCTCAGAGGTAGAGTGCTAGCCTGGCATGTGTGAGGCAGTGTGTCCAATCCTCAGCACCACATAAATATAAAATAAAGATATT